TCCTCAGTCATTTACAGTAAGAGCTTTTTGAAAGCTAACCAAAATTGGTATTTACTCTAATAAAGCAGTTGGTTTTGGAACACCTGAGTGGAGAACAGGGTATGTGTAATACGGTTCAGCAAATTGGTGTTGTTCTTGAGCTCTGGTTTCTCTGAATTACACCAGCTCAGTATAAAATACTTGGACATTGAGAAAACGGCTCTTTAACTTGTTCCAGATGCTTCAGTGATCTGATTAAAAGCCAAAACATATTCCGGTATTAGTGTATAATCACTAATTTAACTTTCTGAATGATTTCCTACACTTACTCTATAGTTCCAGGGGGCTTGAAATCCCTGTACTGGAATCAAAGGACAGCTGGCGTGATATCCGTTTGTTTGATGTAGCAGCAGGAAGAAAAGGCCATAAAAATGTCACATTGTACAGCAAGATTAGCGCATAATGAAAAAAAAAAATGGGTACAGTTACAAATTCCAGTCCAGAAATAAGACTTGCTTTGGGGGTCAACAATAACAAAGAGAGTTTGAAAACATCCAGCTCCCTCCATAGACAAGTTATTCAAGTGCATTTGTTAGTTGTTGCAGTGGTCCCAAAGCAAAAGGCTTAGTTTCATTCCAGGTCTGTGAACATAGGAGCATGCCTTTCTGTTAGACACTGGAGTACTTCTTTGTACAGTTGACCTTATTTTTCAGGCCTTCCAATGGAATGGCCAATTAGCATTATTCTCTCTTCTTGTGTAATTATAATTAGCTGCAATCTAAGGCTTCAGTTATTTTAATTGGTTGTTAAATATATAGTTTCACACGCTTTCACGGATGCACTTTCCAGCCTTTCCAAGAGAAGCCTGAAATTCCCTCTTTAACACCCACTTCCTCACAAGACCACGGTAGTGGAGGGAATGGATGGGGCTGCTAATTAAATGAGCCATGTGGAAAGCCAAATAAAACTTTGTTGTTTAAAAATCCCAAAGGTATGGTCTCCATGCAAGAGAACAATAATTCTGCAAGGCAATCTGACATTCCTACAGGGAAATGGTGGTAAGGTGCTGTTTCTTGAATTTCTTATACTGTATTTTATACACATTAAGGGTCTTATTTTCCACAGGACCTCTGAAACATATACATTAGTCTCACTTTCCTTGTTTATTTCAAGTGTCTGGGTTGTTAATTTCAGATGTTTTGGTCGCTCTGTATTTTGCATGCCCTCTTTAGAAATAAGGCGGCTTAGTGGTCTACAACAATCAGGATTTTGTGTAGGAAATAGGCTTTCAGCCCAGTTAAAAAATGTATTTCCACTATAGATCCACTATACAAACAGGCAAAGATCTAACCGGAGTCATAAGAAATGTGATAGCCACCTCATGAGGGAAGTCTCACAGCAGTAGCAGCAGTTACTTTGGTTCATAACTCCAGATGACACAAGCATTGGCCACCTAGTACAGTATTTTCATCCACGAATCTCGGCAAGAGGACTCTCAATATAAAATATGTTTCAGTCTGGGAATTATTGCATTTGTTTTGCCTTACATTGGTTTCTTTTTTTTAAAAAAAGATAAAACTTGGTTCCAAAACCATGCTGCAATGTTTTACTATTTTATAAAATATTAAATAATGAATATGTCACTGTCCTCTCATATTAAAAGGGACTTTTTGCAGAAAAATATGCGCTTGTAAGGGAGAAACATTTGCAAATACTAATTTACCACAGGTAAACATGAGCCAATAAGATTGAGGGCCATCTGAGGTTTGTGCTCTTTTGGTTAGTTTAGCCCCAGCAGTGGGTTGGGGATTTTAGAGACACGTTTAAAGGCCCTTCTTAAAAACCCACTTCCTTCGGCAGCGGCAGACCGCTCTGCAAAGCCCAGGGCAGGTGTGCAGCACTGAGGTTTTCTCAGCTGCTCCTGTCTGGGAGAACAAGGGAGCTGTTTGTTCTGCGAGGAAAAGGATATATCCGCTGTGAGACTCTGCCTGCCCTGCTCCGACACTCGCCTCTGAGACTGTCAACACAGCCCTCCTGCCACCTCTGCACCAGCCAAACCCCCCACCCCACCATCATCATCGTCTTCCTCTTTTGGGCCTTAGCGTGACAACTGGTACATTTTTGAACTTTTAGTCTTCAGTTGCTTTCTTCCTTTTCCACCCTGTACCAGTTTCGTGGTGTTGACCGTGAACACAGAAAGTGTAACCCCACCTAATGGGCTCAAAAGGCAGCAAAGAAGTTTAACTAGGAGATGTTTAACTCCACTTGTCCATGAAAAGCATTCGTTTTTGCTTTATCTTGAAGTACAGTCAGCATCCAAAGTGCTGTCCTCAACTGTATTCTGTCATGATTTAATTCCCATGAATTCACAAGGCCAAAAAAAAAAAATGAAAGGGTCTGGAGGCCGAAAATATTGAAATGGGCAGAAATTCAAACCTACAGCTTATTGTCTGGGGAGTTTTAAAGAACTTACTGCACAGTGTTTGGAACAAAGCATTTGTGTATTTTTATGTTTTCAATATTTCATCATGATCTAAATTGGATGTTCTTAACAGGACGCTAACCTATTTCTGCACACTTTTTGCAGATTTTAGTTTTTTTTCTATTTCATGCCTCAGTCAGACTAATACTTTGTGCCATTTTCTTTACACGCTTCCAAGTTAAGTTACAAGTGAGTGTGTGTTTAGCTCACATTTTTTTAACAGTCCTCAATAGGTGCAGTTTGTCATGTTCGTCTTTCTCTGGAGAAAAAAATCACTGTATTGACCTACTGTATAACACTTTACATAAGCCGTATCTCTTACAGGATATTACAAAATTAACTGAAACAAATCTAACACTGGAAGCGAAATCAATATCAAGTAGATCTCGAACCCTCCTGGGAATACTTCTTAACCACAAGCACTGTGAACGTGTGGAAAACAGAGGGTAATGAAATCCTGCTACTGCCCGCCAACACAGCTGACACCCTGCCTCAAAGGCCTGTGTTATATAAAACCCACATTGTGAATTGACGTGCTGTTCGCAAAGGACTGCAAAACCTCAGCCTGCATGCTAGGCATTGAAATGTGGGCACACAGGTGCACACATGTTGCATTTTGAAACAGTTTTCTTTCCATAAATATTCTATTCAGACTCAATTACTAACACGTTAGCTGGAATGCTTACAATTCAATAACTGTATTTACTGGTTTCAATTCACTGAGCTACAAAACTGAGTGCCAATCACATCCTTATGCTTCCAATAATTTCCCAAGTGTCTCTTATGTGTTGATGTCACAGCAACACAACTATTTGTTTAAGAACATTTGGCATGATAAATAATTCAAGCTTGTGAATCACTCTAGATGTGCTTTTACAACAGCAATAGAATGTGTTCTCTGTATTTGAGTTTGTTTCTAAGGTTTCAGGCAAAGGGTGTTTGCCTTGTCAGTAGCAGTAATCTTGTGTTCAGTACCATAATCTTAATTAATAATGAATTGCTTACTGGGTTAGGCTCTGGTGACTCTGTGCTGTGTAAGCAGATGAGAAAATGCATGGATAGATATCTATAGCTCTTTCATCCTAAACAATCCCAAAATGCTTTACATAATGGAGGGGACCCACCTTTTCAACCATTACCATTACCTAGGTGGCACATAGCAGCCATTAGACACTGGCAGCCCCATTACAGAGTTGAATTAAGTTACTACAACTGAATCAAAGAGGGACTTTAGGGAAGCCGGATTGTGTAAACCCAAAATTAAATTTAGGCAGGACACAGGGATTAAAATTCCTATCAAGTAGTCAGGGACTCAGTTTAACTTCTCAACCAAACAATGGTATCTCTTACAGTAAAAGGTCTCTCAAGGCACCCAATTGTTTTATTCTGAAATTCTAATCCAAAGAGAAAACCACCACAACTGGTTTCCTTAGAGGTTTCCCATTCTTGAGCGTCTGAGTTCTAAAGAGATCAGATGAGACTTTACTCACTATTGTCGTATTTTTTCTATCGGTGGTTCTTAAAGTGTATAGCATTCTGTAATACACTTACAATACTCCTAGGAAATCCTTTAGGAGTGAGTGTAATAAGATATTTCTGCATACATACTCAGTACCACACTTTGTACCTTGTCCTCACAAGTGCCTTAAATCTACTTTAAATGAGCATAGGCTAAGGTTGAAGCTATATTTGTGTACAGTCTGATAGATGAATTCCAGCAACACAGTGAATTGTTCTCCTGAATACAATGACTCTGCTCCTAGTAAACATGCAGTCTGCATCTTGGTCTCCATTCTTGGGGGTAGTGGGGTGTGAATGATCTTGGCACTTTCAGTGGTACACAGTATGCCACCAGAAAGAATCCCAGTTTATCTCCCATGCAGTCACTTGACCATCTTCTCCAAAAACACAAGTCAGTAGGTGCATGTACAGGCAGACCAGCAGCAGAAGCAAGCAGAATTTCACCAAGTAAAGTTTATTTTAACCAGACTGCATCACTGAATGGCACATCAGAGTAGTGTAGGAGTTGGGGATCTGGCTTGTCAGTGTAAATCCTTTAGAAATCTTGTGGCTGGTCTGGTTTTTGTAAAAGACAGGAGGGATAACAATGGTTCTTTCCTGGTATTTCTGAGAAAAACAATGGGATACTCTGACACTGAGTCAAAAAATGATGAGTTTGTAAAGTGATAATTAAAGATTAGCCTTGCGGTCCTCTGAAGATGGGGGCTCTGTTCTGAAGCACTGTGGACCAGTTAACATGTCTGGGAGAGGTGCAGGCCCTGGAGATCATGAATAATTGAGGGAGAGTGATGCTGGCAGAAAAGGGATGGCAGTATGATTCAGACATGAATATATACCTGTATCTATAGATAATGTGAATAGTTTTTGATGCCTCCTGTTATTTTTCCTTGTTTAAACAGACAATAATATGTCTGTGTAAAGATTAAATAAGCTTTTATATTGGGAAGACAAGGAGCTAAGGCTGAGTGCAAGTGTATGAGTCCATCGCTGACCCATAATGTTTCTGCACTGTGTTCAGGTGAACAACAACGGACTGGTGTCATTTTTACGGGAAGTGTCTCAGTTCACACCAGTTGCATTTCCCATTGCTGGGGACCGACGGGTTGTGGCACCTTTCTGGGCCGATGTCGACAACCGGCGGGCGGGGCAGGTATTCTACAGGGAGAGCAAGGATCCCGCCATCCTGCAGAGAGCCACTGCTGATGCCCGTCGCTACTTTCCCGAGTTTCCCAGCTTCACCACCTCCTGGGTCCTGATCGCCACCTGGCATCAAGTCACGTTCTTCGGGGGTAGCTCATTTACGCCCGTAAGCACCCCTTCATTGCCATTTCTTTCTCTGGCAAGATTCAGAACCGCCGTGTCTTTTAATCTCGGTGCAGAACTTCATTGTGTTTGCTCTCAACCTGAGGCTTTATACTGATTCAGAATTTGGTCAGTATATGTGTGAATTACATATGCTATACGTTAGGACTGTATTAAAATCAAAATAAAAATGTATTCAATTAGTTCAGCTTCAGTGTTTTAGTTGTTTTTTAGTCAGAATGCTGAAAGTTTGGGTGAGCCTGATATCAGGGGCTTGAAGTTGGCGGTTGGCATGCATTTCTTACTGAAATGTTTCGATAAGGATGGGAAAAAGTTAATTGGATCAACACAGTCCAAATTCTTAGAAAACCCCAATTTTCCTAATGTGGCTCCACAGGTTAACACATTCCAGGTGGTTCTGATCACAGACGGAGAGCTTTCGTTCACCATCCTGCAGTACGAGAACATCACCTGGACCACCGGCCTGCACGCCAGCAGCGGGGGGGACCTGGCGGGGCTCGGGGGCATCGCTGCACAGGTACAGCGTGTCTGATCAGCACTGCGCTGCAAGCCCAGAGCACGAGGTGGAATGGTATTTCCCAACAGGGCACGCTTTTAGCTCTTATTGGAATTTGGTTAAGGGCACTCATACAGAATTTCAGCATCTATCACCTAAGTGTCCGACACTGTGAGTGGTTAAATCTACTTTTAGTAGAGCTGTGGTGACTTTGATAGTTTCAAATTTCAACTTTCAACTTTCTTGTCGTATGTACCTGAGTATACTGAAATGCTTACTGGTGTGTTTCCTCACATAACAAACATGTCATGATAAGTGACCTCATGCATTGTTTGAGAAAAGAACCTATTTGGGTGCTAACAACAAAGCGGGAAGTAGCAGTATAAACTACAAGCAGCAGCCATATGCATAAACTTGTAGTTGGCAACAATATACATATTATTAGTACAGAATACAATAGAAGCAGTATACGTTAAAAGGGTAACAACTGTAATCTTCAGCAGCAAAAACCAAATGATAAGTGAATAACCAAAAATTCAATTTCTGTACTTTCTTGTGGACTACTCTGAGTCCTTGCCTGGAAAATCCACAGGAATCAGTTTAACATTTTTCCTCATAAAAGAGCAGGCTTCATGCCTTGTCCAGCTCTTAACGTGCTGCCTAATTATTGACTCAGAAACAAGGTAACCTCAACTGCTAAGCCACTGCTATCCATATAAACCACAGATATACAGTGTTTATGAGCATAATGTGCCGTTGTGTAGTTAATTCATTTCAAGCAGTAAGAGGAGCTGATCAAACACCAAAGACAGTAAAATCGTACTTACTGTATACTTAATACTTTCCCTCGTCACCAGGGATGCTTAGAGAGGGAGAGAAGTGTTGTTCCATTCGTGAGTCCCCCTGCTCTATTCCCAGGCAGGCTTTAATGCAGGCGATGGGAGGCGCTATTTCAACATCCCAGGCTCCCGCACTGAGGATGTGGTGGATGTGGAGGAGACGACCAATGTTGGCGTTCCTGGGCGCTGGGTCTTCCGTATCGATGATGCCCAGGTGCAGGTGGGAGGCTGCAATGACTCAGGTACAAACCCAGGGCTTCCCTCACACCTTGGCAGCAGTATTGTGGCTTTACGGCACTTCAGAAACAATTGACAGATGTTTTGATGCATTTATTGCAAGTTAATTTTGTCTCTTTTTGGTCTGATTTAGCTTATTATAGGTACGTATTGCCTACCAAAATTGTGTTGTGATGAAATATTGCTCAGTAGGAAATTTTTAAAAATATATGTTAAATCAAAGACTTCATTATACACATGAAGAATATTGCTTATAGATTTATTTATGTACAGTTTCACTTGCAGTATTCTAGCCATGTAAATTAAACTTGTATGGATTGCCAGTGATCAATAGAACTACAAGTAGTGACTATGAGAGAGAATACAGATAATTGTCTGCAGTTGGAATGGTGGATATTTTTGCATTGAGAATCTTTCAGCAGTTCTCTGTATATCCAGGGGGAAAATAAATTAAACTGCACATGTAGGCATGTGTAAATTTGTATCAAAGGTTAGAAATAATAAAATAGAAATAAAATTACAAAATGTCTGTTTGAGGCCATAGTTTGTAAGCAAAAAAGCTGTCATATAACCAACAAAAAGCAGAGTTCTAAGTGGACCAAGATAAAAAAAACAAACAGATCTTTTCAGAGAATCAGTGCCTTGACTTGATTAAATTAAAATAAACTGTTTAAGTGATGCATTTTGTATATGTATATGTAGAGACAGACAGAAACGTTTTGTTAGTTTGGTATTGATGTTGTTTATGTCCGAACATAACCAGCAGAAGTGAATTCTACTCAGTTATTAGCTGCCATAAAAGCAAGAGAAATAGAAAGGCCTGTTATCTGCTACATTTGTGAATGTTCTGATGCTGGTAACGGTTTTGATCCAAAGCAGCCCTTTGTGTGTGTCTGCCCCAGCCTCTGTGTGCCTGAACCTGCGCCCCTGTCTGAATGGAGGGCACTGCATCGACGACTGCATCACTGGCCACCCTTCCTTCACCTGCTCCTGCCTCACTGGCTACACGGGCCGGAGATGTCAGATAGGTTAGCTCTGCTTTCCTCCTGGCCTCTCCACTTCAAAACACTAGAGCAAAGTCTGCCGGACTCTTTTTGTAAGGATGTGAAGCCTGTGGTCTATTTTCTTCCTTGAAATAACAGAAAGAACCTATTAGTCCAGTATAGAAGAGGGGCTGGTCACTGCCTTGTTACAACCTTCATAAAACACCACATTTCTCTCTTACTGTATAGTGCTGCCAGAAATCTCAGTGACTAGTAGTTAACTCCTGCCTTATACCCATTGCTTGCCTGGACTCTGGTTCCCCGCATTTGTAGGATGGATAAAACGGTTCAAAAATGGTTGGATGGTAGTTATGTGTCACAGTGATAGGGGGAAAAGCACCCCTGAAGTACGTGCAGTTCGACCTTGGAATCAAACTCAAGTGTCTCAGACACATCCAAATAACACTTTCCTACAGCCCAGGCAAGTGTAAACCTACTACAGCCATATGCCAGCAGCCATATCACCCTGCAACTAGCAGCCCACTGAAGCTCAGCAGGTGTGCGCCTGGCCAGTACCTGGGAATAATTAAGGTTGCTGCTGGAAGAGGTGTTAGTGGGACCAGTAGTGCTCATCCTGCAGCCTGTGTGGGTCCTAATGTCCCCATTATAGTGATGGGGACACTACACTGTAAAAAGGCACCATCCTTCAGATGAGACGTAAAACCGAGGTCCTGACTTTCTGTGGTCATTAAAAACCCCGTAATGTTTCTTGAAAAGAGTAGGAGTGTTACCCTGGCATCCTGGCCAAATTTCCCATTGGTCTTTACCAATCATGGCCTCCTAATATGAATTGGCCTCATCACTCTGCTCTCCTCCCCACCGATAGCTGGTGTGTGCCGAGCGCACTGCCATTGCATCATCCAGGTTGGTGCTGCACATAGCTCGTAGTGGAGGGAGTGAGTAGAGTAATGGGGGAAGTCCCCAATACCTGTGAAGCACTTTGAATTGAGTGTCCAGAAATTGCACTATACAAGTGTAATTGAATTATTATTGTTACAGTGAAACCAAGGTTTCCCTTGCTGTAGGATGTCTGTTCAGTATTGAGAGCCTGTGGAATGAGGCTCCTGCAACTTTCTCATTTTACAACCTGAGACCTGTTGTAATTGCATCTGGACAGCATGCATCTTCTACCATGCCTGTTCCGCAGACATTAACGAGCTCTGATGGTGTCAGTAGCTGCTTGCTTTTCAGTCTGACAAGACTCATTACATTTGTTTTGTAGGTCAAGCTCAGTAGATCATCCATGTCATGGTCGGACAGGGTAGTGCACGGAAAGGAAAGGTCAGCGTCAGACTCGCCATGAGAACTTTGTATTTTCCCCATTTTTCTCCCTCCTGATTATCTCCCTCAGATGTCAATGAGTGCTCCTCCTACCCCTGTCAGAATGGAGGGACATGCATTGATGGGCAGAACAACTTTACCTGTCACTGCCACCCTGGCTACACGGGACTGTTCTGTGAAACAGGTACTATGACTTCCAGCGCTGTCCAGAGTCTATGCTTTATGCCACAGTTGTTATTGATCAGTATGAGAGCTGACTATCCTGCCTTGTCACACTGACTGACTTATCCCTCCTTTAAACTGAGCTGTACGTCTTTGACACCTTTGTTGGTTATTTACCCCCATTCCAAAATTCAGTCTTGCAGACTTGTGAGCAATTAATTCTTTATGTCAGGTTTATCTAGTAGTTAATTTAGATTAGCATGGAAGCTACAGTCACTCTAAAATTTCGGGGCTTTTTTTTCAGGGCCTTTTAATTTTTTTGCCCGGCCAGGATTACTTTCTTTTCCGTTCCTTGCTTTTTGGCCCACCCCTTCGGATTTTCTTTTCACCCTTTTGGTTGTTCCGGGGATTTAGGCATTTACCCCAAACTTGTTATTTTTTTATCTTTTCTTACCACCAGGGGGCATTTTTGGGGGTTTTTTTGAAGGGGAAGTTTTGGCACCAAAAGCTTTTAAATAACAGTCTACGTGCCAGTATGAACTGGTTGGCAATTACTAGTTCAATCCCTGTACAGTGAAGCAGGCAGTTTATCAGGTGTGACCAGAAGAAAGATATATAAAATTAACAAAAATTTACGTTTGTTTTGTCGCTTCAAATCTTTTCTTTGTGCATTATTTCCGGTTAGACATGTTTGCAGACGCTGACATTTAAGACACTCCAAACATTAAAAGGTTTCACTGTTAGTGCTGCATATTTCCCCAGCAATCGCCAACAGCAGTGAAACTTAATCACGGACGCACTGCTCAGCTGAGTAAATAACATCAGGCCTGTGTTTGGCTGCAGACATCAATGAATGTGAAGGCAGGCTGTGCAGAAACGGAGGTGTGTGTGTTGAAGGAGTTGGCAATTTCACATGCCAGTGTGAACCAGGCTTCACTGGGTCTGTATGTGAGACAGGTGAGTAGGTTCACACTCACCTCCTCGATTCTATGTGCAAACTGTGCCTCATTTGTCTTAAATATATCCATTCTTTTTTAGATATAAATGAATGTGAGTCCCAGCCCTGTCTGAATGGGGGAAAATGTGTTGACCTGACAAACAGCTATACCTGTGAATGCTCTCTTCCCTTCACTGGACTGCATTGTGAGACAGGTGAGAGAAAAATGTACATGTGTACCTCATTTATAGGTACATTATACCATGAATAGCCTGTTTCTTATATATAAAAAGATCAATTCCACAAATATACTGTACAGTATTTATCCCTTTACTCGGTATGGAAGTATAAGATTATTGCTTCCACTGTCTCTGTATCTTAATACATGTTTTATACATCAACTATTTATTCAGTTATCCTTTTATTTTCCTATAATGTAATGTCATTCCAAATGAGACAAGAAAAACAGCATAAATATACTGAAGAATTTTTTTTACTGTGACTTATATTTACAGGCTGGACTAACCTGGAATGTACAGTGCATTCATCAGTTCTTTCCATTTTTAGTCCCTTAATGTCGTGCAGTTTGTAATTCATTTGACATTGTGAAGGGTGAGTTTACCCCATAAAGGAACAAAAACATGCACAGCCCAACATTGTAATATTTACAATGTCTGAAATAAAGGCTCACACAATTCATTTTGGTTTATTTGAAGTGTGAAGATGAAATGAAGGGAGCAGAGATCACCAAGGTCTAAACTGTGAATTTGCATCGCGTTTGTAGTCTCTTGTAGTTCCTTCTCTTGATAATTCTATATGCTGTATCATCACAGGTGTCCAACACAGCTTTGTCTTTTGTTTCAGCGAAGACGGCTTTTCACAAATTACAAAATCATTTTGGTGACGATCCAAGTAGCTCCTGAAAAGACTTGTTACAGATTTGTTAGAACTACTTGCTCAGGAAGCAAATGAACCTTGCATCATCCTCAGAAGCCAGTGAATGAGATGTTTTGCAGTTAGGCTGTTCTGTGCTGATACACATTCCTTTCGTGACATTCTCAAAAGTCCACCTTTCTGGTTTCTTTTTAAGTAGAAAAGGAAGGGTGTAAAAGGGAGTTACAGGTTTTTAATATTTACATAATCACCATACTGTAGAACTGGCCATGATTGCATTGTTGCAAAAAGTCTAATAAAGGCTATGACTGTGTCTGGAGCTGCAGAGACATCAGCAGAGTGCAAAAGACGTGTACATGAATGAAATGTGTACAGAGAGTGAAATGAGCTCTCACTTGTTGTCACGTCATTTAGTTTACTCAGCCATTCAACCTCCCTGATTGCCTTTCCAGGGGGCGTACACTGCCCAAGGGTGGCCCTGCCACTTACAAACTTCAAATAAAACATAATGAACACGGTTTCAACTCACCAAGCTGCTTGATGAAAGGAAGCCAGGCACAATGACCTACGGGCTTAAAGCAAGCATGGCTCTCTTTCAGCCATTTACTTTCGGAACTTATTTTTTTCAGAGCTTGTCACATTGATAAATTCTTCCTTCACTGACGCTGACAAACAAACAGGTTAGTATACTTTTTTCTCTTTCTTTTTATCCTTGACCAACTAACTTTCTTATCAAAAGGAAATTGAAATGTACAGTAATGAACATGACCATTACTTTTCTGCCAATCTAAGAATTATAATTTTCCAAAATACATGCAGAAACCAGCTATGTTTTAAAACTTGAATCTGTTCTTGATTTGGGAACAGTAAGGTTGTACCTCATTTTCCTCAGCTGAAGCCCAGTGGCTTAATGTTCTACGTAGTGACCCAGATTCTTGGTTTCCTTTTGAGCCAAATACTGTTGTTACCCAGCTCCCCAATGTTTAATTTTTTTCAGATCCTGAAAAGCTGACGAATTCCTCATTCACGGATTCTGTCAATGCAACTGGTAAATACATTGCTTATTTTCCTTTTTCTAGAAAGGTATTAAAAAAGCAAATAACACATCACCCTTAAGCTGTATAACTTGTGTTATCACAAATGCTCTCAATTCATATTATGTAAAGTTCAGTCAACCCACAGAAAGTTTGAGTCAGGTAACAGGTTTGGTTAAAGATGTCACACTTCTTCCATATCTTAAAATGAAGCAAATGTATTACTTAAGCATTGCATTAAAAATGCCACCAAATTCCTCACTTGAAACTTTTGTCTGTTCAGGCCTGTTTTTCGCCTTCTGATAAGATTAGTTTTTAGATAATCTCACTAAGTCTTTGCACTCTGACTGCTGAATTACAGATCTGTCTGTATGTACATCATGCCAGGACACCTGCTCCTGCTCCTGCGTACCTGCTTACTCTGGCTGGAACTATCAAAGTAACATGCACAGCTGGGTAGCTTTTCTCAATGTGTATTTATTGACTTTTCTAGTGATAAAAAACCTCAGAGAAATAAAATACTTAAGTATGTGTTATACATTTAAGACAGAACAGTCTGTCATTATTTAGCTACATTTTCTGTCCTGTATAAGAACATAGAGTATAGTCTTAATATTTACAACCATATATCTGAGAGAAGACATATTCAGAAGTCTAATAACTACATATAATCAATATTAATGATTAATAATAATAATTACTTACACTTATATATAGTGTTTTTCTGGACACTCCACTCAAAGCACTTCACAGGTAATGGGGACTCCCCTCCCTCACCACTTATGTGCAGCATCCACCTGGATAATGTGATGGCAGCCAAAGTGCACACATCAGCTATCAGTGGGGAGGAGAATGGAGTAATGAAGTCAATTATTAGGAGGCCATGATTGGTAAAGGCTAATGGGAAACTTTGGCCAGGATGCCGAAATTGGGTTTCCAGTTGTGAGTTGCAGGGTGACTGTGCTGCTGGCTAGAGCTATGATACCTCTTCTAAGTTCACTGAATGCTCAAAAATCACAAGACCTCACAAATTGTGAGTTCTGGCATTATTGGTCCAATGAAGACTGACAGATAACAGATAACCTGAGAATGTGGAAGATGAATGTGAAATGCTGCTTAACCTACAAAGGTTAAGTTGTTATTGAGGGATCCTTGGACTACTCAAACAAAATGCCGAAAAGGGAAAAGATCGTGTGGCGGCAATAAATTATTGTTTAATTTGGCATTTTATTAGTTTACCAACGAGGAAATGCTTGTCTAGACTTCAGAGTATTCTGGGGGTGAGCAAGCTAATGTTTGAACAAAAAAAAAAGCAGCATGAAGGGTCGGCAAAACCTTAAGCATAGTACATTATGTAAACAAAATTTGGGTTACATTTAGTTATGATTTTTAGACTTATTAATTCATGGTTAATGTTCACCCATCTCAAAATACAAATAATCTGGAAAAACCCAGACAAAAAATGGTTGTTGATGAAAAATGTATAACTGGGTATTTCACATTGGGGTTTATAAAAGAAGAAAGAAGATGTAAGTTCAGTCATAATGATTAGTCTAAACATCTTTATATGAACTGGAAGAAGTGAATAGACAAATGGCATTTGCCTTTATCTATTTAGTTTACTATATTTGTCTTTTTTTTCAGCTGTTGGAGACCTCTGTTAGATGTTATTCATTTCTTTACACTGGGCTGTGAGCCTCTGTAAATTTGCCTTAAGCTGACATAGCTATCAGCATTTATATAGGCTCTCTTAAATCTGCTGAATACCTTCCTACATTGCTCACTTGGAAAGGGCAGTGGAAAACACATACAGTACTCCAAGGAAGAAAAGGTAGCTCTGCACACGCAGAGCACACAACTGTTTAATCGGCTGCAAGATCAAAGCAAAATGTTTGCAGACTGAAATTAAAGTGTCTCCAGTAAATTAACAATCTATCAATTACCGGAGGCTATACATTTTTATCAGTATCAACAAACATGTTCCATATTATTGGAAAAACAATATCCTTTTGTGGCCCCAAAACTTCAAAAGTAAGCAATTTTATGCTGATATTACATTTGCCTTTGATCTGATGGTTGTTGAGATCAAAATAGAAACATGAGATTTGCATCCCACAAACATGCTTTCATTTTTTTGTTTCAAAAACCCACACGGTGATATTTGTGATATTTAGTTATATACAGTAGCTATATAGCAGGAAATACAGTAAAACACATTTACAGAAAGCTTCCTTGCCAGTTATCTTAAGGTATTTACCAGGCTAATAAAAATGTATTTGCAAAAATATTTAAGACTTGAACAGCAGAATGGCGACACAGCACTGGGGCTGTGGGCTCAATTTCTAGGATGCTGTCTGTGCAGAGCTTGTATGTTCTCCCTGTGTTTGCATGTTTTCTCCCACAGATCACAATTGTACTAGTACTGTGGATGTCTCCCAGATGTTGGGAGAAGTGATTAGAAAATAGATGATCTAGAATCCAAACAAAAGAGGATCACAAAAGCTATGGAAATGAATCAAGCTTATAAAACTGTTATGGAAATAATTAAACCATACTACCACTTGTTTATAATTGTAGCCAAGGCCACACATGAAATCTAGAACACAACAGAACTGACAGGTTCCCTAGTAAAATTATCCTGTGCTAACCGATAACAGATTTAAGTTCCCTGGAATTCTTTAAGCAGTTCATTCTGAGTTACTCTGAATGGGATTTAGGCGCCTGTCCATGCGTTGGAAGGGAATCACTGAGTTTGAGCTGCAAGGACAGTTTGGAAGGGTTGTTGGCAATGCTGATTGGCATCCCTGTTCATTCTGAGCAGTGAAATAGAAATGACAGGTAAACCATCTTCAGTCCTGCTCTCTTGTCTTTGTAAAAGAGTGTGTCTGCCAGAATGGAGGATCATGTGTGGACAGCAATGGCACCTGTGAGTGCCCAACAGGCTTCACTGGGGACTACTGCCAGTTTGGTGAGTTTCTGTCTGATAAATCTATGACTGGAAGGAAACTAACTTTTAAATTTCACCTTTAAATTTTAAAATTTGCATCTAGTTTTATATTTTCTGTCTTTAATGATTGTATAAACCCAAGACAAAGTGATCAGTGCCACAGGTAATAACATCAGTACATAATTGTTAATAGAAAATGCATATCAATGTTTTACATGCAAGACTTTTGCACATGTGGCATCATAAAGGAATGTCTCCTTTCACTATTTCAGCAATAGTACCTGTATCCTTTCAAAATGTAATTGCAGGAGACGTTCTAATTGCTCCTGTTGCAAACAGGACACAAAGACATAACATTTAATTTTCTCTTTCATCGCACTGTTAGAGTTTGATTGTAAAATGTCCTCCAAGATTTACAAATATTGATTTAAAAATAATCCATCAAAATAAAGCCATACATCACCAGGGAAGCTCTACTGATTACATGCAGAACTATAAAGCTCCAACCTCATTCTAGCCCAAAACTCCACAACAGTATTAGTCATAAGGTTTCACAGAGGGCACGCTTGTCTTTAGAAGTTTCCCAGACTCCCTGCAGTTCCAACAGACCCTGTCCTGATGGCGGGCCGTGCTTAGAGTATGGAGGAACCTACCTGTGCACCTGTCAGACTGGCATAGCTGAGGCTGACACCAGTGATTTGTATCCCTTTGGTAAGCATGTGATAAACCTCCTAGAAAGTGATAAACCTCATATAAAAAGTATATCAGATACATTGGGTTTTTCTATGCCAGTGATCTCATTTCAGGCAGTGGGTAATATTTTTGTTATAGTTCAAGTGGGCAGCTGCGTCAGCATGCGTAGGCTGCAAAGGAACAAGTAATAGGTTTATTCCATGCTGAAAAGATATGAAAGAAAACACAATGTTTCGGCCATGGAGCTCCACTGTTGAAACGTTGTGTTTTCTTACTTCTCTTTTCAGCATGGAATAAACCTATTACTTGTTCCTATATTCTTGTCATGACAACCCGAAAGATTCTCGTTCTCATTATGTTTCTTTTCCCACGGTCGCTTTCTCCCGTAACTGATTCAGATATTTAGAAATTCATAATTGCACATTCAGAGTTTAAACAGCAACCACAGTCCTATCAGTGACGTGGAAAACAGTGATTTTTGTGCATGGGTTTTTTTTCAGTACAGCCCCGATCGGTCTGTGATTCTTCACCCTGTCTAAATGGTGGCCTCTGTTATGAGCGAGATGGTGGCTATACATGTGAATGCAAGCGGGGCTACAGAGGCAAACACTGTGAGAAAGGTAAGTCTGGCGTAATGCATCTGTCCTGCTCCTGTAGGGGCCAGAGAATTTTTCAGTTTAACCGCTATGAAACATTCAGTAAGATGAGGAATTCCAGAAGGACTTATCATTTCTGAAAGTATCTTTCATAAGACTTGAAATAAACACTTGTATCCCAGTGCTCTCCTGTGAGGGTTATACCTCAGAATGCCTTACAATGTCAGAGCACAATAGAGTCTGTCACAGATCAGATACTGTATTTGCTAAGTGACAGAATGCTCAAGGAATTTGCTCTAATGTTACAGACAACTATTTGATTCACTATGATGATTTTACATAAAGATGACACTGCATACTGTATGCAGTTATTTTGCAAATACTAAGGGGCTGCCGCAAGCATAATTATAGAGGCTCTTGGGTGGCAACATTCATATGTCTGTGAGACAAAAACCTGATTGCTTTATTAGATCTATTGCCACTACCAGAGTGGGGAGGTGGAGACAAATGGCAGCCTGGGTGAGACAGACTAGCAGGTTGTGCAAATTATCCAGCACTGGATGCCTAATAAAAATTCCTAGACTTTGGAATGCAATGGAAAGAGACTCCGTGAAAGGAACGTCTCGTATTTGTCCTAATCTTCATGTGAAGCAGTATTCCTCTGGGCTGGAACAGCAGCAGGCCATGCCGTACTCGCATTCATTTTTAGTGCTGCAGTGCAAACTCTGTGTGTGAAGGAGAGTGTTCTGCTCGAATGACGTCCCTTTGTCTCCTCTCAGTCAGGCTGAGTGTCTGTGTGTCCAGCCCCTGTCGGAATGGCGGCTCCTGTCGGGAAGAAGGAGGAGGGTATCGTTGTGCTTGCCCCTACAGGTTCACCGGCAGGCACTGTGAAATCGGTGAGTCCGGATCTCACAGTCCTCCGAGGGATATAAAGTTAAATCAGATAACCAAATACAGAGTAACGCACCACCCCAGGGCTTCCATCGTGATGTTCCTCCATGTAGTGCCCAGCTCAGTAAATCTCTCCCTACCCTTCTATAATAACTCTTGGCGCCTTTGAAATCCAGGCATTGATTTTTTTCCCTCCTTCCACACTGAACTGCGTAGGTTGCATTGGCAACAATTGCTATGTTGTGCTCCAAAGTAAAGCCAAAATAATTAGCTGTGCAAATAACGAGTGAGCCAACCCATCATGTACAGATCTTATCTCAGTAACAACTCTGGTACTCACAAAGACTAGGAAACGAAGGGAGTCAGCCTCTTGGGGTGACACTTCTCTTTCCATTGAAGCTCAGTTCTGCGCTGTTTCTGTCTCAGGAAAGCCTGACCCATGCTCATCCAGCCCCTGTCTGAATGGAGGGACCTGTTTCCATTACATCGGAAAGTACAAGTGTGAGTGTGCTGAAGACTACAGCGGGAGACACTGTGAAAATGGTAGGGGCTCTGCTCAAACACAGACAGGTACACAAGGTTAACTTCTACTTTACTTTCATTAGATTGTTTTCATTACATATTACTGTACCAATGATATTTTACTGTACTAAAGTACAGTACAGAAAGTAATGTAAGCCAAAAGGCTCCTTGACCGTTTTTTTGAACTCACAGATGGCACTAATCCTATATATTATTGTATGTGATCTGAAGTACAACCTTACAATCATTGCATAGTTCTACTTAAAAGTAGTTTACCAGTAGGGAAGTGCACAAAAAGGTGGAAACAATAAACAAACTGAACATAACAGGTGGAAAGAATAAACCTTTAACTTGAATTTCTGGGAGCATGGAACAAGCTACCCAGTTATGTTGTTGAAGCTTCTTTAATGAAACAGCTGGATGATCCTTGGATCATAAACTACTAACTACCAAATGGCTAGACCAGTCAAAGGGGCCTCCAATCATTTGTAAATGCTCTTTTGTTCTTAGGAATAAGTGAGAAGTAACTGTGAACATTGTAGGTAGATGTGGAATAAGCTAAAGCATGGAAAGCAAACAAAAAATAATCTTGTGAGAAACATGAAGATACCTACAGTAGGTAGGCAATGTTCCCTGGTGGGGTCCATGCTGATCCTGTTGCATGTGAAAGAGCAGCGTCAAGCTACAGCCTACAGACACTCCACACGGTGGTTTTAAAGTTGTAGGGCAGTCTCTGACAGCGACACTGTTGCAGAGTTGGACTGTGGCCCGCCCGTGCAGGTGAAACATGCCGAAGTCCACTACTCCTCGACTCAGCCCGGCTCCACTGCCCTGTACACCTGCCACGCCGGTTATACCCCACTGCCCCGGGCCACACACAGCATCTGTGGGAGCCAGGGGTCTTGGAGCCAGCCCCCTGTCTGTGAGGGTAAGCCACACAGCCATCCCACACGAGCGCTGGCATCTCTGCCGTAGCTCCTGCTATAGTGATTTAGAATATGTGGTAAAGAGCGGGACCCTGCAGTAAATGTACTGAATTTGCAGTAAAGCAGAGTAATGTGAATCATGATGATGTGGCGAAAACTTGCTGTTATTTTACCTGTGATGTTTTCCTAGGATTTGCAGGTGGTTAGGAGGCCTGTCTAAAACCATACAAAGAAGGACTCTGTTCCATTCTCTGTGCTCTAATTTGCAGAGATCGACGAATGCCTGTCTCAGCCCTGCCTCAACGGTGGGACGTGCAGAGACAGGATTGCTACCTACCTCTGCGATTGTGAGGAAGGATTCATTGGAACACGCTGTGAAATAGGTAAGAAGGCAGCATTTTTCTTACCAATTAGAGTGTCATATCTTCTTAACGTTTTTAAGCAGATGTGTATTGAGAGAGTTTAATGGTGTTATCTTGCACTGCATCCCAGGAGGAGGAGGATAAAGGGAAAATAGTTTCATCCTACCTTTGCCTCTCCCACACGTGATTGAGTCACCTCTCGAATCAAACTTCATATTCCCTGTTTCTTCTAGTGAATCCCTCAGCTGTTTCTGTGTTCCTACACCAGGACCTTATCTCAAATGTATTTGGTGCTCAGCTGTTGCCTGTCTCAGAGACAAAGAACTGAAGCATCTGTCTTACCTTCCCAGAACTGAACGAGTGCCTGTCCGAGCCCTGTAAACACGGAGGGAGCTGTGTGGATCAGCGAGGGTTTTACTTCTGCCAGTGTCCACAGGGCTTTGTAGGCCAGGACTGTGAAACACGTAGGTGCCCAGCAACCAGACAAATAACCCATAGAAGACCAAAGGGATAACCAGATAAGGCTGAACTAATTTTCAATCAATATCCCAAACTGTGTCCATGAATAAAGATCGCATTGATCAGTACAATCAACTTGGGCTCATAGAATTAATTCAAAGTAGTAACCATTACTCAAGATGCTGAACTAGCTTCTAAACCTGTCTGGGCTACAAGTATTAAAGAAAAATCATGCCTTGCTGGGTCTTTTGCCCAGTTTCATAAAGGCATGAGACAGATGTGGTCTGGTTAGATTTGGAATAATTAACATCGGTCCATTTTCCCTGCAAAACCAGTGTACTTGTAAAAAAAAAAGTCTGTACTGTGTAGAGGACACTGAGAAAAAAGTGAAAATGCCTTAAAAAAGAACTAGTGTTTACCTACTGTATAAGATGCTGCTTGAAGTATACAGCATATACTTACACTCTGATGGAGCTTCGGACTCAGACCTCTAGAGTTGCACCAGACTCATGAATAGAACAAGCCAATGCATCTCTATAGCATGAATGTTCTTTTAGTTTCTTTGCGTTTGAATGTGTTTTTCCTGATGATTCCTCACATTCAGAGCTGGATGGGTGCGAATCAAACCCCTGTCTGAACAACGGAGTGTGCAGAGGCTACAGAGGGAGCCACCTGTGTGTGTGCAAGGAGGGCTTCATAGGAGACCGCTGTCAGACAGGTATGCGGAGCACCTTCTTCTCAGTGTGGAGCCCTGTGCTTTGCCTGCAACTCTAAAGCCCTAAGAGGTAGAAAACTGAATCCATTCACTGTATGTGTTGGTCTTGCAAAATTCAGCATAGGAGCTATGAATTGCATTATAGTAGAGCTAGAACAACAATCTCAACCGCTTTTACCCCATTGTGTACGTTGTTTGTAAAGTTATTCAAGCAAACAATGACCTCCTTTATTTCACCACTTGTATGTGCGCTGAGAGCTTTCCATCAAATCTATCTGTCTCTGTCTCCCTCTAGTGGTAGATCCCTGCATACTGCAGCCCTGTGGAAGCAGAGGGTACTGCCGCAGTGACAGGAGGGGGAATTACAGCTGTACCTGCAGAGCAGGCCACACTGGCAGAAACTGTGAGAAAGGTTAGTGTCTGCATTGCATGCATACAAACGGCCGATTAGTCACTGGAAGATCTTTTTAATAAAATTTTAAAATTATTTTTATTTTTTATTTAATTTGTTCTAATCTTTTGTTTTATAGAGAAATAATGAAATGGAGCACCACAAATTACAAGACAAATTGTACGGCTTTGTTCTACGTGTGTAATTGATTGACACTCTGCATTTATTGCTTGTGCACAATTTCATGCAACGAGGTTTTTGTTTTTACTTAATATCTTGTGCTCTGGTTTGTCGAATGTTCTCTCGGCACGCTTCCTGAAAGGTACTGGCAAGCACTTTTCAGGATTCATGTTGGATGAAGGATCAATGTTCGCAATCGAAACTCTGAAATGATCCAGTATAAGAGAGAATCCTAGCGCAAGCCTTGTTATGAAGTCATCTTGAGCTCTCTGAGAAAAGAGAAACTCTCAATCTAGGATCTAGAAATGAAGAACAAGTCTAATTTGTCTATGAACAGCAATAATCCAGTTCGTCCTTTCTCATTTGGAGATTGTGTCCAAAATCAGCCTGATCAGTCAGTTACCTGTAAAGTAAAAATTGTTTTACCAATGTACTACTTTATCTTTACGCAATAGAAAGATAATTTATCTTTATCAGCTGTAGAATTAAATGTCAGATTTCTGTGTTATGAAAAGATACTTTACTAAGAAGATTGATGTCTACTGCTGGAAGAGGCCGTGGGTAGGTTATGGGATGGGATGTACAAACTGTAGATGCTGCAGCTCTCTGCATCTCTGCATTCTGCCCACAGCACTAGCGCCCCCTGCAGGCCTGCAGGTGGTGCGGGTGGAGGAGAGCGAGGTGGAGCTGCGCTGGAACTTGCCCAACAGCTCCAGGGAACTCATCAGCGGATTTGCCATCACTTATGTGCCCGTGGGAAGAGGTGTCCGGAAAACCGACTTCCTAGACAAGCAGCACTCTTCCCATTTACTCCGTTCCCTGTTGCCCGGATACCTCTACAACATCTCCACCTTCTCGGTCAAGCGCAACGTCCACAACAACGACATCAGCCTGCCTGCCACCACCCTGACACGCACCAGTGAGTGGTGGCAGAACTGCGCTCACGAGTCCTCTCTCACTGACAGGAAGAGGAGGGAAGGATGGCCTCACTCCCTGCATTACAATCAGAGTGTTTTGTTAAATTCAAATTCTTTGTGGTTCCAAATTTGCCAGCCTGATAAAGATCACTTTATTGGCCATATACGGTTTCACTGTGGTGTGGTGGCTCTGTGGCTCAGGATCTGCGCCTGTGGCTAGAAAGTTATGGGTTCGTATCCCACGGCTGGCAGAGGAATCCTACTCCTTTGGGTCGCTGAGCAAGGCCCTTCACCCCAACTGCTCCAGGGGTGCTGTATAAATGGCTGACCCTGCACTCTGACCCCAAGCTTCTCTCCCTGTCTGTGTGTCTCATGGAGAGCAAGCTGGGGTATGTGAAAAGACAAATTCCTAATGCAAAAAATTGTATATGACCAATAAAGTGATCTTAAAATGAAAAGCATCATGGTGTCTTAAGCAAAGCAATGGGGTGTCAGTTTGTCAGTAATTTGGAGAAAAGGCAAAACACCAGAAAAATAAAATCTCAAATGGGGTTTTGAGAGCCCATATTTTTCTGTTTTCAGTCAAATCAGTTGCTACCATTGTAAGCAGAGGTAGTGGAAGAGAACTGATCTCTATATTTTCTGCTAATAAAGTGAGTCTAAAAGAATTTGTGCAGTAAAGTGTGCAGTCAGAGTTCCATTCCTTGTCAGTCCTTGTTCAGGCATCTGCTAGCTCTGCATAGGACACGGGCAGAGGAATTTGCTCCGCCAACCGGCCAGTGATTCTCTGGGGGGAAGTGATGTCACCATAATAGTCTCCCCTTTTACGCTCTGAAATTTGTTACTTGAAAGATGTCGTTCAGCTATTTCAGGCAAATTTTCTGTTCTCTTCAGGGCCTCGCAGGGCAGAGAACGTGCAGGTAGTCAGCACGTCCTCCTCTCGGGTGTCGGTGAGGTGGAGTCTGCACCCAGGCTGGCATGCCTCGGTCAGCCAGGTGCAAGTGTCTCTCACCTCACCTGACGGCAAAGGGGAAGAGTCTGTTCTGCTCAACAGCAGCAGCTCAGAGCACACCTTCAGGTGAGGAGCTCGACTTGGATATTGAGGAGTGGGACTGGGTTTTATCTGGACATGTTCAGCAGGAGAATCTTTCTACCTGATCGGGGAAAAAAATCACGTTTTATGAATAATACAGTAAGTTAATTCATTAGGAAACACTCTCATAACCTCCCCATTGGTATAACTGATCATTTGGGGTTTATTACTCTTTTATTGTCAACTTGTTCTGCATATTTGTAAAGGGGAGATGGTGATTGTAATGAGATTGTAATGGGAGACATTTATCCATTGAATGTAACTGACTTATCGGCAGGTGTTCCTCATTATTGATCTAATTTGTTCCTCTCAACAAATCTGTAAATCTAGAGGGCAATTTTTTTGTACTACAAAATATACATCAAGTGTCAGGCTGTCTTAAAATAAAACAGCTAGAAATTCAGTAGAGGTTTGCCATAGGATTGTGTTTCATAGGTTGAGAAACATTGAGTGAAAAAATTAGAAGACTGTGAAACATGAAAAGACTTCTGTACAGCAGTATATATGTTACCAACTATTTGACCAGCAGTATAAATATACAAGAGACATTCAATAAGCACAGAACCTGACTGTCAGGAGAATATTCATATTGACTGATATGTTGCTTGTCTTTTACCCATCTGGTACTCAGTTCCCTGCTCCCAGGTCAGATGTACACCGTCGATGTGCTGACACAGAGTGGCCAGAAACCAGACGAGCTGCCCTCCTTCAGCCACTCTGCTGGGCCCCTCCACGTTTGGACCAGTATGTCAGTCAAGGGCTCATGTTATCCTCAGATGCCTGCTCTGAGCTGCAGAGAGTTGACAGAGAGTGTTTTACAGGCGAAATCCAGCCAAGAAAAGGAAATTGCATTTGCTGTGGTCAGGCCCACCCAGAGAAACCCTGGGTCCTGGCATATCATGTTGACTGTTGGCCCTTTCATCATTTTTTTACTTGTCAAATTCATTTATTTTGAAACCAATTTCTTGATATTGCTGTACTTTACTGACATAGAAATTCACCAAATTACCCTTTTTTCTTGTTATTTCTGGGGGTCCTACTGAACTCAAGGTTATTAGCAGGATCATTTAAAGAGAATTACAGGGAACATAAGTCATTTAGAGTTTTTGTTGTTGTTTGGGCTTGTTTTTCTAAAATTATTTTTATTTTTGGTTCCCTGTGAGATATCTGTACATATCTGTATCTGTACATAGTGAGGCACCTCCTTAACCGGGACACTTTTTGTTTCTGTCACCAGAACCCCTCCCTCCTCAGAATCTTTCTCTGGCCTTCGTTACTGCAACATCAGCCCAGGTAACCTGGGCCCGGCCTCCCAGAGGATCCCTGGACGGCTATGTGGTTAATGTCACACGGGGACTCAACACCAAGAGCCGGTACCTACCCAATGGGAAGCTGACAGTTTACACACTGCGAGATCTGGTCCCTGGACAGCAGTACTGGTTTTCCATCACCGCCGTTCGCAACACGGAGCACGAACAGATGCACAGCCTGCCACAGCAGCTTGCCATCACTGCCCGTGAGTACTTGCTAATTCCCACTCACTCACTGTTAAAGCAGGTGAACCAAAGGCCTGACACTAAACTGTGCACTTCTTCTCCCTTTCAAGCATATCAAAGGTTCTTAAAACATGCAACTCTTCAACTTTTGGCCAGAAAAGTTGGGTGGAAAAGTGATTCACATTTACCAAGCCCATGTCTGCACACGCTCCCTGCAATTCCAGGTGGCCTCATGCAATAACTTGCTCTAGATTGTTATTATATCCTCATCAGTCATTGCTATAAGCTAGAATCATTGGCATTAGTCCTTTAGCTTTTGATTTTAAACAATGGGGTCTTTTCATGCCCCGTACTCTAAAGGCTGAGAATGTCACTTCAATTGGCAACATCCCACTCAGCAATGATGCCATGTGATTAACTCTTAAGCCCACTTTTCTGGCTCTAGGCCTAGCTAAGGAGTAACCCTAAGAAATGTTTGCTTATATGTTACACATGTGCTGCTAATTACTGGACAAAAAGGGCCCTTTTCCTTTAGACTCACCTCCTCTAAAATACCTTGCAATTTGTTTGCAGAGTTCAATATATTTTGTCAGTTTAAACAGTTTTGAGCCTTAAATTGTCTTTTCAGCAAAAAGAGAGGGAAAGAAAAATAAAGGGAATAACACAAGTCCTTAGAGAGTTCTCTGATTAAATACGTACCTTTAGGCATAAGCCTGTTTGCCTTTGTCTTCCTTGGGGGGGGGACGGCAGTGATGTCAGAGGAGAGAGCTGGGAAAAGAGAGAAGCCCGCTACTGTGGGACGAGAGCTCCAGGTGAGCCCCCGGCGCGGCCCCAGCCACCACCTCTCCGCCACCCTGCAGCACGGCCCGGCGCTGGTCACTGACCGGGACAGTTTTGAGGAGCTGCCCAGGTATGCAGGAAGAGGTGATCGAGACGTAGTCAGGGTTTCACCCTGACCCCAGGCAATAAAGACATGCCTGAAATCACTACGCTGCAAGCAGGGGCAAAATTACTCCCTTGTAACTCCCTTGTAACCTAGAGTTCGCAGCAGAACTGGTGTAGACAGGCCATTCTTGCTATTCATGGGCCACAAGCCATGAATGAAAAACGACATGATGTCATAATGATTTAGAGCCAGGTGTATGTCTGTCTGTACTTCATAATCATGAAACTATGAACTGGAACTTGAAGACATCAAACAAAGATGAGGTGGAGACTGACTTGCTACAGTATGAACAGGACCACACGCCCCACTGAGGCAGTTCTGCTTGGTTCCTGTTAGAATATTATACTGGGATACAAAATGTTTCAATAGGTTTCCACTTTGCTTAAGGTGAACGGAGGGCCTAATGCCTGCATTTTCCAGTGGTAGAATGGAGGCGAACTGTGAGGACCTCATGCTGTCCAAGCTTGGCCACTTTATTTTGTCTATAGTTCCTGCGGCTTCAGAGGAAATGGAGAAAAAGCATTGTTTCTATTTGCAAGTGAATTAACGCATTTTAAAATTGAGGTAGTAAAACGTCCTCTAATTGATTCCCTTTCGACTTCAGATACACTGAGCTCATTGACGGCAGAGGGAGGATAACAGCCAAGTTTACTAACCTGCCGGGGAAGGAGATCACACACCGTCCAAGTAGGTATCGAGCTTAAGAGAGTGGTGACTAGAGCCCTGACATGCCCTTTATAGAAAAAATAGCCCTTTTGGGAAAAAAAGGCTTTGACCCCCCAGGTAACTGGTCCCAAAGTCATTGCTTGATCTGAGGTGCTGATAAATTTCAGAAGCTGTGGGCTCTTGGAGAATACTTTAAGCATGGCGTGGCTATGACAGGGGACGGTGCCTGCTCCAGGGCAGCATTCACTGCTGTTTTATTTTCTAGAACCTGAGTCGCCGATCAAGTTGGAGAATATAGAAGAAACAACCAACAGAATCAATCTTGCACTGGAAATTCCAGAGGAAGGAACCAGCAGACAAAGTGGTAGGCCCTCTCCAAAGCATGATTGAACATTAGTGTTGAAAGGTTGCCACCATGAGGCCCCTGGGTGCTGAATTATATTTCTTCGGTTTTCTTTTTACAGTATTATTCCGAAATGTGTTCTCAGTCCTAATGGCCCCCAGTAGACGACGGTTTATATTAAAGAACTGCCACATGATCTGGAAAAATTGCCAATTTCCATTAATGCTCATAAGAAAAACAGCATGATTTTTGTGTTAATGAATGAACATTTCAGCATAGCACAATTGTGCTTTCAGCTCGAAAGGCTGCAGAAGGCTATTAATAAAAAAGTTTGACTCAGAAATCAGAGATTGCATTACATCAGCTCCTGCCTTTTTTTCAGTTAGAACATAACCACAATGCACTTAAAGTCCATGTCACTGACAGCTAACTGACCAGTCATGACCTGGCACATGTGACAATTTGACAAATCTGATTTCCTAGCAAGTATATTTGAACAATCATAATTAAGGACTACTGCAGAGACAGTACTTAAGTAAGCAAAAAACAGAGAAAAAGAAAAAGAGTAGCAAAACATAGGAGACAGGAATGTGTCTGAAACACAAAACATAAGATTTGTACTGATTATAGATAAAAAATACATTTTGGAAATAATTTATTGAGCCTGCTTAGGACATAAGATGGGTATACATTTTGTTTTAAAGCTCTGATGCCCTCTGTGTTTGTTAATGTTTTCTTTAATGTCTTGTAAACTTTTACTTTCTGTTGTTTAAGTAGTTATAGAGATGGTTTATTGCTTTGATTAATAATTATTCATTTTGTTTCCATTAGAAGTTACACAGAAAATGACAGGAATCATGTATCTTTGGTCAGGTTTTTCTTACATGTATGCTGCTAATTGATTATTAATGTGTTCTTTTTTTCCATGTGTTAAAATACACTAATTTTCGGGGGGAAAAAAGATCTTTCATTGTTAGATTAGTCTTGGAGATGTATTCATTTGTAGTATGCCTCAGAGTTTCTGCAGCTTCAGAGGAAATAGAGAAAATTCATTATGCTAGTGTTACTGTAGGAGAGTTAGCAGGGTCAAGGAAGGATTGCATTTGCTTGAGATTGACAGAAATTGTACATATTTTGGTGAAATCTCATGGGGTGTATTATCCTGTGCAGTGCTTATCTGGAGCTCATGGTACTTGTGTTCCAGAGGCTCCAAGAGACTGCAGGACAAACCCCTGCCAAAACGGTGGAACTTGTGTGAAAGGGACTGACTCTTTTGCCTGTGACTGCAGCGTGGGATTCAAGGGAAGACAGTGTGAGCTCTGTGAGTAACTGTTGATGTCGCTGCAATCTTTTTCTTCAAACTGAAGTGAAACGCTTTGATCTTTGGTGAACCTACGTCTTTTAGAATGTTTAAACTATACTGATATCTCCTCAGTGATGGCAACTTAATCATCAGTGACCATTTTTAACCAGGTTCACACACTCATTATTGAGTGTCATTATTCAGGGGCAGCCTGATCTAGTTAGTGACTGCTATGATGTGCATTTGACTTCTTAATGATGAATGTCACTGCACTCAGAAGCAAAAGTAATATTCTCCTGGTCTGTTTCTCTTGACCAGTTGTATCCCCTATTTGTTTAAAAAAAGGTCCCTGGTCTTCATGGTCTATCTATCGTATTTGCTGTGAATTTTGGCTTGAAATTCAATATCCAACGAACGGAACTCAGATATCCGAAAAAAAACAACATTCCTCATTATATCTTTAGCACTGGCACTATCAATGATCATTCAAATCCTCCATCTCCACTTGTCTGGCACTTGTTTAGCTTAATATTGAAGACACATTAATTTCTGAGGTGCCACATGTCATGTACGTTCATGTTATTTCTTTAGGGACTGTGTTCTTATTTCCTTCTGGGGATTTTAATTGCAGTCTGTCAGCGAGTTCCTCATTCCTGCACCCGCCTGTACTCTGAAACAAAGACAGTTCCAGTCTGGGAGGGAGGTGTTTGCCACTACCTGTGAGTACAGTCTGGAAGACTGGGATACAGTGCTCTTATATACTTTGTGAACTCATTTATAAATGCTTTTATCAACCTTATTTTTAGACAGTTTGACAGACGGGAATGCCTGTTTAACGGAATCCTTTTAGAATTCCCTTGCTAGACTCTCCAGTCACCCGGTGCTCCTCAGTCACATTGTACTGAATTAAAATATTCCTTTTATCTGGATTTTTCGTCTTAAAATTATTGGAAGGCAACAAAAGCCAACTATTTTCTGAAGAAGGGGGTATTTTGAAAATTTTAGAGTCATTGCTGATAGGGGGCTGTAATTTATGTTCTTGTGCAAGTCAGGAGTTTGACTGGCTCACTCAAGCACATTCAAACTCTTGTTGTTAGACCATTTCAGTGTGGTAATTGCCTTGCTCAAGCATACATGATTGACTCTATTTTAGAATCCTCTGTGAGTCAGAAAGGGTTTTTTTTTCAAAGAATTAAACTGTTCTCTGGCCTATCCATTTTTCCCTCAAACATGACAAGATTCTCAGTCCCTGCTGATGAGAAATATCCCCATAACATAATCCTGGCACCATCACGCCTGACACCTTGGATGGTTTTGACCAGAGCATATACTCTGCTGGGCTTGTACATGCCATAAGTTTTTGCATTAAGACAGAATTTTACGTTTTTGTCTCATATGAACATCGAACCTTTTGTCAGATACTGTACATGTATCTGCAGTATGTATCTCATATGAAATGTAGGATTATTCTTTTCAGAAAGGGCTTCTTTCTTGTCACTCACCCATACAGGTCAGCTTGAGACTCTAGAGACTCTCGTCTCAGACTTAGAACTTCATAAATCTTTCAAAGTCAGTATTTGACAGTGGCACTCCTAAACACTTTCCTGCTTGCAAATCTGCTCAGTTTTCAAGGGCAGCCTGATCTAGTTAGTGACCGCTATGATGTGCATTTGACTTCTTAATGATGAATGTCACTGCACTCAGAAGCAAAAGTAACCTTCTCCTGGTCTGTTTCTCTCTACCACTTTTATCCCCTATTTGTTTCAAAAGCTCCCTGGTCTCCATGGTTAATTTGTCATATTTGCTATGAATTGTGGCTTGAAATTCAATATCTATCGAACAGAATTTAATTACACAAATGCATTTGCTCTGAAGTCAAGATAACCACTTAGACTATACACAGACAGAGACCATAAAACTGATATTTCAGACTATTCTTTTGCATATAAACTGATTTACGATCGCTATAGAAAAGGGGTCAGATACTTATGTACTTGAGAATAATCTAATTTACTTGTGTGTCATGATTACAAGCTCAGACAGCAATACAAGAGAGCAGAAACTTTACAGAGGCCTGAATACATTTCAAACAAACTCCGTTTATCTTTCAAGCGTGTGGTACCCACATACTGAATTTTCTATTTCAAACCATACAGGTATAAACGAACCTACAAAGTCCACAAAGACATTTGTTACAGGGAGATTTGCGAGCCACTTCTACATAAGAAGACTCCAAGTAAGTGGATTCTAGCATGCATTGAAATCACGTCATCATTTACAAAAATTGCTTAAGACAAAAAACTTTTTATGCATGCGTCATTCACTAGTCTTGGCACCCATATGTAATGCTTAATCCAATCCTTAATAGTGCCTAGGAAGAAGACTGTAATGACAAGGGACTGCCACTAGTGGTCACTTGCAAAGGGCTCTACCTTTTCATGGTTTTCTTAATTACTGATTGACTGAAATGCAGGAATTTGCATGGTGCTTATTTGTATAAAAGATTGTGGTGGATGTTTTTTTTCTGAGTGTAGTTTGGAATTTAGCAAGGAATAGGTAGAAGAGCAATGTCAGTAGACAGGCAGTTGTAGTAGCATGTGGTAGTCTCTGGGCATAGTTATATATAGGTTTTGTTTATCTTTACATAATTTAATTACATTAAGCCAGGGACCTTCAATCAGCATCTGATTTGAAGAGTGAAGGTCCTGAGTTGTGGTAACTGACCTTCGTATAGTCTACAATATGTATTATAAAAGCAGGCTTAGTCGTTTATATATTTTCAGTTGTTATTTATCAGCAAGCACTGAGTAGTGACTGTATTCATTGCAGCTTGAATTGTTGATAAGCAAGCTAGTTGATTCTATATATATTGTGAAGCCATTGAGATGTGAAGTTTTTTTGAAGATGTTTGGGTTTTATTCTTCTTATTGTCATCATTTGCACTCTTTGTGTCTGTGAAGAAGCTAAATTAAAAGTGAGGGCGAGAGAGTAATAGATCAGTGTGGCCAACAGTCCCTTTTGAATTTGAAAACGTGTCGTACAGCTGATCATAACCAGGAACAAAGTGGTATCTTAAAACAAATTTCTCTGGTATTCTTTCTGATGAAATAGAAACTGTTCTCAGTCACAATGCATGTAGGAGATACAGGAAGTGTATTGACAATAACGAAGAGTAGACATCCGTTCACTGTCATCTACACTTACAACATCTGCTGTTTCTTTTCCTACATGAAAACTGCCTTGTGAAATATAAATAACCATTAAATGAATCAGTTAATGTAAACATCATATATATACATCTAAAAGTCATAAAATATTTTCTTCTTAATTTTCCTTTTTTCTTGCTTCCAACACAGGAAACAGAAGGACTCACAGACTGCAGTGAAACTTTGGTTAGTAGTTTTCTTCTTGGCCTTACAGAAAATATGTTTTCTGTCCCTAGAAATACAGTAAATACACTGGAAAAAACAATCTGTGAAGTGGTCAGAAGTATGGACGAATACATATTGTAAGACTCATCCACAACTTCAGTCCCAGGAGATATATTGTCAGTTGTTATAATTAGAAAATCATTGCACACTGAATGCATTCTCTCCGTAACACTTGTGTCCACTGGCCTAGGGCTGTGAAGACACAAGAGCTGCTGTTTTATTAAAATAGTTTTAGTTCTAAAATTAGAATTTTAAACTTCTAAAAGAGTATTAAAAAAGGAATGGGAAAGCACAGTATCTGTACCTATGGTGCCATAAATTGGTTTGGAAAAATAAATTAGGATTTTTTTCTTCAACACATACTGCATATGGCTATTAACTTTTGAAACCTAATTTTCTCCCAAATACTTGAAGGCAATAAAGACAAATGATTTAGCTGAGTTAAATACTTGAACAAAACAATTAAAATACCTTTGCATCATGCAAGAAAATTACTTATAACTGGCAAATTGGTACTATTCAAAAATTATTTTTTGCTAAATTAATGTAAAATATGCAAAAATTAGTTTCTGACCTCTGGGTCATTTAATAACCCCTTTAAGCAAAGAGCAGTAATGATTTGTATATTATTGCTGCAAAAGACCTACTGGGTGATGAAACAGACGTAGCTTTGTTTTCTGCATTTCAGTGTAAAGTGCGCCCTCTTCTGGCCAGACAGGCATATGTCGCGAGATTACCTATGAGGCAGGAAGTCGAAACCCTAAATGAGGTGTTTGATCAACCAGTGAACATGTTTCTGTGTTGCAGAAGGCAAATAATCCTATTGACGGCTGAGAAAAATAAAACAGGAGGTTGCTTTGCAGAGTAAAATTCAAATTAGTTTTCATTCATTCTTTTTCTTGCAGGTAGCCATTTTGTCAGAAGGCCAGTTTGCGGGATTGAATCTCAGGGGATAAAATTGATTTTCCCTGATGACTTCTACCTGAGAGAGTTTCCATGTGCCATTTGGAAAAAAAATCCAGCTTTAGGAGACACTCATTGCCAGTGAATGTAAATTGAGCTGTTCAATGAATAGTAACTCTAGGATAGGGTCATCACAAAGTTTGCTGCTGGAGACCACATCAAAAGTTATCTTTCCTTGATGTTTTGCCAGCTGTGTACACTCTGTTCATTACTTTCACATTCTCAGTTATTCTTGAGACATTCCTCCCCCATTCACTGTGCTGCATCTTAAAAGAATCAGTGCCTTTGGCCAACAGTTGAGGGGGCCAAATGGGGTTCCCACATGTTCATAAGGGACCCAGTGTCACACTTTCCCTAAAAGAGAGCGAAAACTCAGAACATTTTCAAAAGAGGGAATCCCAGAAGCCAAAAGAAAATAATCTGGACAGCAAAAGACACATCGCTCTTTCCCTGAGCTTCTTTTCAGTCCCACTAGAATCATAGGATGTTGACTTGCCATCTGTTAAGAGTGACATCATCTTGACATGAACAGCTTGTTCACGTTACGCACTCTCTTTAAATACACTGCCTTTTTGTCAGGACTTGCCTTTCTTGCTAGATTTTGGATGACCCTAAATCTGCAAAGCATGTGAAACAGATTGCGCAGAAGAAGTAGTATTTAGTCCATTCTAACATTTTGTGGAACGACTCACAAATAGTACAATAATCCTATAGCAGACCACAGATCAGCATTGAAGATCTTTGTATTTGGAATTTAGGTTGAGCAGGTTAGCATGAATTTATTTGGAATATCTCATTAAGTCACATCATTAGTCCAGTGAATCTTTTTAGTACCTAAAATAACACCTACCCAAGTAGATGGAAAAATAAGCACTTTAAGGAGTGCTTTAATGCTGAACATATCATAATACATATAATAATAAGATTCAGTTATGGGTTATGAAGCATTTTTGATTAAAAGGCTTTTTTTGTTTTATTTTCCTGTGTTAGTGCCAGCAACAGTTTTCATGCACGATAGAAGAACATTTGTAAATCATAAGTCTCTGACTTTATGTTTAGCTCCATAAATATCAGTGAACAATAAAATGCTAAATGCTAGCTGATTTGAGAGTCAGTGATGCAGGAGAATGTACAGTATATACTATTAAATGTAATAAAGCTATGGGCGAAGAAAAATGTGTATTTTTAGTAGTCATACTACTAAAAATCCAAAGAAGGGTATTTTTTAAATTGGGAGTACTACTTAATAGAATTTAATGCTGCTCCCACTGTACGATCAACAATTTCAATTGTATAGCAAGAATCTACGCAGGTTTAGTTTGAACTAAAAATCGAATCTTTGTTTAAGTGCTTACGTTCTTGCTATGCAGAAAGCAGCATGTTACTGCGTGAATACTGACGACATCTAATATTTAAGCCAGGCTATTCTTAGACAATAGCTTATGTACATAAAACTCGTGAAAGAAGTATTATGAATTCCAAACCACCAAGAACCATCTTTTTATGACTAATAAATTTATTTCAAACAGCAAAAGCATTTTAGATCTGTATTATTATACTGAGTAGCACCTGAAAACGGTGTATACTAATATTACATTGATTACATATACAGTATGTAATACCTGAAATGTATTATGCATATATACAGCTTTCATGCAGTAGTAAATATGATTTAATTGTTATAGTTTATGAAGCGCAGAAACATTCAAAAGGAAATTTCTTGCAATTCCAAATTACTACTCTGGCCTTTAAATAAAAGGCGTCTGATTTCAAAGTTATAATCTGTATACAAAACAGCACACAGTTTCTTCTGTCTGTTAAGAGACAATTGACCTTAAAAGAAACATCAGGTGTGAAACTGACATAACTGGGATGTACTGTACAAAACCCGGACAATGTTCCACTGAAACATCCATTTGGTCTACTTACATGAAAATATACATTGCGTGTTAATCTAGGATTGGCGACACTTCTACTTTTAGACATGTGCAACTGGGACAGAACTGAGGTAACTAGAAAACGTGTGAGGAGCAGTAGTAACGGCCAAGACTGGCAGAAGGGATCTGAAATGGGAAAGGCAACCTTAAGAGGCAGCTGCAGCCTAGACATTTTGGGACAGAATAGAAAAGCAGCCAAGAGCTTTATATTTTAGGCGAAATTGTGTCAACACTACATGGAGTGTGCTCCTTTGGATCATTACTGGATAGAGGACAAGTGGTCACACCTGATCCTAGGTACAAGTCTTATTATAACTAGCGATGTATATCCTACAAATATAACCTCAGAGGAGGTATGCAAATTGACTGTTTTTTACAGCATGTCTGTAATGTCCCTTGGTGAACCAGTAGTTGGCTGGGTCAGTTCCCCATCCTCTGCTTAACAACCGCACCTCACCACCACTTTTATATTGCCCTTAGCTCACTGGAGAACAAGAGCACATGGAAATGTTTTTACTAGATGAAATGCGGAGATGTTCCTTTGGAAAAAAAAACTTTGTACTTTGGTTGCTGTTTAGTCCAGATGCTCTTTGTTAGAAGAAACTTCAATGATATCTTGATCTCACTGCCTTTATATCCTTAAGAACAAAAAACCTCCAAAACAACACAAACCGTCTGTTCTAGCTATTATGTAAATAGTGTTTATAGGCTGTTTTTGTAGGTGAATATTTTACTAATAAAATGTTAAAACATTTGCTTTTTTGTGTACCATTCTGTTTTGTTTTGGTAAATGAAGGATCTTGTGTTTTATTTGGTGTTAATACTTAAAAAATAACTTTTGAAAACTGATAAAATCACTTTTAGAAACATAAAAGGTGTTTACCTTCTGTATTGTATTAGACGTATTATGTAAACAAAGTACTTAATACCAGGTGGAGTGGTGGCACTGTGGCTAAGGATCTGTGCCTGTGGCCGGAAGGTTGCCAGTTCAAAAACTGTGGCCAGTTGGGCCCCTGAGCAAGGCCCAATAACCACAGCTGCACCGGGGGCACCGTATAAATGGCTGAGCCTGCGCTCTGACCCCCAGCTTCTCTCTCCCCGTCGGTGTGCTTGTGTGTCTCATGGAGAACAAGCTGGGGTATGTGAAAAGACAAATTCAAGAATTTGAATATGAACAAACAATTAGTTGCTTGCATGTACCAGAACACTGCAGGTGAGGGGCGTAATCCAGCAGGATTTGGAGAGAGCCTTTAAATCATTACTTTCCAAAGACCTGGAATAATTTAACCATGGTCACTTATACAGGCGGTGTGTTCAACTGAGTAACTTAGAGATCATTTGGAACACAAGACTGTCCTTCATTCCTTAGAAACCAGTGTTCCCTTCACTGAAATCATTACTTTCTGAATCGATTAAACAAGTCTTCCTAGTCATTGGGTAACAGTTACTTTAAGAGAGACCTAAACTATAGGAGTATCGAGACTGAGGCTCTCCTGGACCAGGATTGGAGACCCCTGCTGTAGATCCATTACCAGTCTGAGTTTGTGCCAGAACAAATGTTGTGTCCTGGTTGTTCATGGGCATCATATACTGAGAGGCATTAAAAACACCATTATGAACAAGTAGCATTCATTGCTATTTTTCACAAGCTGTCTACTGTTCTGTATTAAAGAGAACCCTCATCAATACATGCGCTGTACCATAGGTAAGACCAGACAGAGAGGTGAATATGACAGAGTTAATTTAAAACAAATATCAAAATCACATACCCGATTCTAAATAATAGAGCATTTTGAAGAAGAAGTAAAGAAGGTTCCTCTGATGAAAACAGATTTTAAAAGGCTGGTATGCAAAGTATGTGTGATGTGGATGCAGAGAATGTGTCAGTCACCATGCTGCAAGGCCTGCACATAGGAAAAGAAGCAGCTGTTTGTTAGTAAACTGTAAGGCGTGTCAGAAATACACACAAATATTCTAGAGCACAGAATCACCTGCGAGGTTCAGCCGGCTGAAAACATTAATATTAATAGTGTAAATGTTGAGAGAGAAGGAAAGATAGCTTAAAACTCAGATGTTGAAGGTAAGAATTCTCACTGTGGAATTTTCTCAAAGCAGTGATGTACCACATAATGCAAGGCTGTAGGAAATTGGCTGTAGGACAATTCCAGATCTTCAACACGCTGCTCTGCTAATCGGACAACTTACACTAGGAGTGTACATGGCCCTGAGGGTCCAAGGTGGCTGACATTCCACAGTAGTCAACAGGCATTTGGAGAAAATAGGCAAAAAAACCTACTGTAGTTCAGGTGGGTAGCTGCCTCAGCATGTGTAGGCTACAAAGGAACAATAGGTTTATTCCATGCTGAAAAAAAGAATAAAGAAAACAGGTGTGGGCTGAAGAAGGCTCCACGGCCGAAACGTTGTGTTTTCTTCTTTTTTTTCAGCATGGAATAAACCTGTCACTTGTTCCTTATAAACCTACTGTACTTGTTGCGCAAGGATCACTTCCGAAGAAGCAAACGAACTGCAATTCTAATAATAAACCACTAGGTGTCCCTATTAATTTGGGTAGCCGAGCTGGACTTAGATTGTGTTTTCAAGCCTGAAAATGTGGGATGCGTTTTATGAAAGACACCTGGACAATCTTGTGATCGCTGGATTGGATCTAAATAGCCATAGTTAAAACGAAGATTACTTTGTCTAAAAACGTGATTAACAAATACGCAGCAACATATTTAATGGTGAAGGCATATTAGATTAGATTGTGCAAGCTAATGGAAATCGAAACACGTTTCTGAGGTTATTGCAAATATAGAAATGCAAACAGCGCTTCACCTTAAAGAGAAAATGTAGTTTTCCCCATTAGCAATTGCGTGGATTATTGTCATAAAATAATAATATTTCATTGAATTTATAGAGTGCATTTCAATGAGGTATTTATTGTATTCTTTCTGTTATTGAAAAATCAGCTCCAACAACCCCAAAGAAGCAAGTGTTGTGTTGACAAAAAGTGTTTTTGTGGTAAAGGTTCTAAGCAAGAAGTGTTATTTTTCACACTCGTTGCCCTTAACATGCGACTTTCTTTTTTTCGTTGTTTCCTCTATCTTTAGCTGTACAATTGAAATCTAAAGTCATCTGAAACGAAAGATTTTTATCTTTGTGCAAATATTAGTACCGTCTAAAACTAAAGAAAAGAATAATTACAGTTGCTACATATACACATAGAACTGAGGACAATCCTTGCTGGACAGTTGTCTAGAGCCCCCTCTGCAATGTACATGCACTTTAAAGTTTTTAAATGTCTAATAGACTGATGATGATGATTGTTATTTTGTAGTATAGGACAATTTCCTTAAAATGGTGTCATAATCATTTTATGGACCTTTTTCTGTTTATTTTTTCGAAATGTTGTGATACTGTGTTTTTTTTACCAGTTGTATTCGGAGTGTGCTGTATGTTGCACTGCTTGCTTTTTAAATTACCGTCTTGGGGCTGAATAAAATATTTAGAGTTGAACGCATTGTCGGCTAGCCCTCGTGTCCGAGAAAGATCCTTCCAAGAACCCGATGATAAGCGATAAAAAAAAACAATATATCTGAAGGACTGTAGGCGCTGCGTGTTTAACTTGCACCGCTGCTGGGTAAAAAGAAACGAACAATTCAGCCTTCTCTGCTTCTCTTTCACTCCAGTTCATTCATCGTTCACACCACGGCCTCCTATCTCAACTTTCCTTCCACTTCCAAGCGCGCTCCTGTGCGGGAAAACTAGAGGTTACGCGCTCGAAATAGCGACGCACGGACGCGCTCGTCGGTCCCCCCCCCGTCAAGGGAACGTGCGCGCACACGTGGCCCGAGGAGCCCCCCCTCCCTTTAATGAAAGCTGAGATTGCGGGGAGAGGGAAAAAAAAAGAAGAGACGATGAAAGGAAAATGCTGTGCGGTTACATGGAGGCGAAGCTTTAGGAATGTATGTGCAACGTTGAAGTAATACCCATAAACGGGAAAGGAAAGTCGGGATTGCGTTTTTATACTACAATCCCGTTCTCCCCCGCACGTTTAGCGGGGGGCTAGGTTAACTTCGCAAGAGAAAAACCGGGAGAGGAGTGGAGTGGAGAGCGGAGAGAGAGAGAGCGAGGGACGGGGGTGAGCCATCAAGCAGTATGCTTCTTTTAGGAGCAAACTTTCGCTTCGGAGGAGGAGATCAAGAGTAGAAAAAACTCGGATCCGAGACGCTAGAGATCAGGGCGGAATTGCATCGAAACAGCACCCCCTCCTCCTCCTCCTCCTCCTCCTCTCAGGAGATCGCTGTTTTTTTTTTTTTGTTTTTGTTTGTTGTTGCTGCTGTTGCTGTCGTGGGCGATGTTGTTGCTGGCGGAGGCGATCGGCGGCGGGTCAGGGTCCCGGGGCTGGCCGGAGTCGGAGCTGTTCCGCTGGAGGCGAGAGGGCTTCCTCGTCCTGCTCCTGCTGGAGGCGGCGGCCGTGTGCCTCGCCAACCCCAGCGCTCCCGGGATCAGCAGCAACAATCGCCCCAGTGTCAACGTCTACATGAGCGAGGAAGAGGTGAAGAAGCTGCTAGGTGAGACGGAGCGGAAAGAGGACAGGGCTAATATCGAGGTGGTGGTGGTGGTGTGTGTGTGTGGGGGGGTGATAGAGAACTCAGGCTGGCACTGTGTTGTTTTGATTATTTTTTTTGGGGGGGGTCGTACAGAAGCACCAACTTCGGATCGCTCGGATGGCGCTACTTCTCGGTCGCTCCGCATGCTTTTAACCCCCGAGCTGAACAGGTCTTGCTTTGCCTGTTTTTTCCCCCCTTGGCTTGTAATTTGATGGGTACTGTGTGTGCAGCCTGCTTTTAGAGGGCTGTGCGAGTAAGTCGGGAAATAAGCGACTTGGACCCATTCTGGTGGCTGAACTTCCTTATGTGGAAAATATTAGCAGGTATTTAGAAAATCTGAAGCATGATTCTCCCCCCCACCACCACCACCCCTCCAAAAAAAAAAGAAAAGCCTTGCAGTTTTGGAAGGGGTGGTCATTAACAGGATGCAATGTGGAGTGTTTCACGTCTAGCGTTAGTTACGCTGTTTGTGTTACTTGCTCCGAGCCTCGCGTAGAAATAGTAAACACATCCCCTGCCACTTGTGGTCTAAACCTGGCGGTCTCGCAGAAGGGGAAGGTTGCGTCTTTTTTTTTTTAGGCAAAATCTGGTGACGTACGAAAGCTTTAGCCCAGCGCAACGGGCAGGGAGAACCGATCCGTTGTCACGACCGAAACGCAGCAGATGTCGCGACCTTGCGATGGTGCGAGAAGTTTGAAATGCACCTACTCGGACGCGTCAACTTGTCCCGTGTGAAGGCGCGTTTGTTTTCGCCGCTTGATTTCAAGAGGCAGGTTTCATTCAAAGTGGTTTAACAACACGGTGCTTTATCCGGAGGTGCTGTGGTGCAGAGTGTGTCGAGGCATTAAATACTGGTTCATGAAGATTTGGGGGGTGTTGTGTTGGGATTCCCGTAGCACACGTGTTGTTTTTAAGTGGGTCTGGAACGCAGGTGGGAGCGTTTCTGGTCTAACAAGGTTATTAGCAGGTAGCCTGCCCCGACCCGCTGTTTTGTTTTTAAATGAGTTGAGATGCTTTTTACACTTTGAAGTACGGTGAGGGTTTCTTTTAGCTGCGCTCAATAGTCAACAAGGAAGAAAAGAAAAAAAAAAACATTGCACTGTGATGAGTGGGTGGCGCCAGCAGCCCAGACACAAGAAGTATATGTATATTTTAGAGTCGTGTTTCAGGGTTGACAGCTCTTAATCAGTTACATTACATTTTTACAAAGAAAGCAGTATTTAATCGATTTTGAACGGGTCTTTGCGTGGTGTCAGTAGAGGCAGAAGCCTCATGATTTCATCGTGACAGCGGCCATTAACCTCCCTGGCTTGTCTAAGCGCCTGAAGTTTTTTAATCTTCTGGCCCATAACTCATATTTGTGCCCTCTAGGTCTATTTTTTGTTGAGTGTGAAGAAATGGTTGTGTTCATTATTTAAAACACCTGAGTCATATGTTCCGATTGTCATTGGTAAAATATTTTCTACCTGTCATTCACAAACATACTTTCGAATGCTACTTCTTTTATTCTGGTATAATGCAGTTTTAGTTTTTGCACAAAGGCTGGTTTAGATTATGTTATTAATTGTCCACAAATTCCGTATTTTAGATTTACATCCTTCAGTTATAAGTATTGAAAGGGCTCTGAATGAAAATGTTTTTTTATCCTGTTGAGAGTGTAGGACTTCTTCCTCTTAATTTACAAAACATATTTAAAGTTTTGTTTTGTAATTTTTTTTTGTTTATTGATGTTTGTGCTGTATCGTTTGCCCTTGAACTTGGAAAGGAAACGAGGAAGGGATTTTCTTCCAGACTAAATTTAATCAGATATTTATCTTAGGGTAACTCAGAGCATTTTGAAATAGAAAACATGTCAGTCTACTTTGTCATGTCACAGAAGTCATGTCAAAATAAAATCTGTTGGTAACATTTATTTGAGCTGTGCTTCAAATAGGCACAACTTGTCACTTTAATAAGAAGCACATGAACTGGGGACAGTGACCCATCTGAACACAGATGAAAATATCTTGCTACCAGATCTGAAACCCAAATTAACTACCACTGGGGATTTTATAAATACATGTGTGTCTACAGCCAAGAATCGTTATCTAAAATCTCAGCTTTAAATTACAGTACATAGCCTAACCAGAATACAATGGACTAGTTCCAAATACAGGATAAAAAATATATTGACTGACTTTAATAAATCTTCTTGTTTTTTCATTGGGCAAGTTTATTGTGATGTCCTTTTGCTGTGGAAATTAAAGAAAGTTACAGTGATCAACAGTGAATTGTATTTACTTGGGATAGTTTTAAAAGCCGGAGGTCTGGTCAGCAGTTATTTTCTGCTGATGGTGGGGTTTTAGGCTGTGAGGAGGATGTCCAGATACGATCCTGGACAGAACAATGTCCTGATGCCTCAGGGTTCTGCATGTCATTCATGTTCAATCCAAGTGCCGATGAGACGCGGTCCACAGAACCACTGCGGTGTTTTGGTGCTGCGAAGATTTGGAGCGCAGACCAAACATCGGAAGAGCCCACTGCTGTTCAGGTGTTCAGGAGTCTAGTGTCTGAAAATTGCGTCCACAGTTGTAGCAAAAGCACTGGTACCCCTGCCATTTCTAGATACCCTGAAGCAGGTAGGCCCAGTCCTGATCTTGGATAGCTGGTGTAACGATGGGTTCTCTAAGTTTCTTGCCTCAAGCACCTCGAGGCCAGGAATGAGTTGTTGCATCGATTAAAATAAGCCAATACTGATGTGATTGGGGTCATTAAGAACCTACAGCCCTTGTGGAGTTGGGCTCAGTTGGGAGTACCAGCTCTAAAGAGGTGAAGATCTCTCCAGTGCTGGTAGTACCACAAAATGTTTTCTATTTCAGCTGTTGAAGGGTAGAATATCTAAGCTGACTACAGCTGATATACTCCTTCCAGCTCCTCGTAATTCAGTGAAGTTTTTGTATTACTTTGGTGTTACTGAGAATGATATATGCTCCCTGTGCCCATTTAGTGTTATGTTTTGCCACAGTGTAATTAAAAGAAAGTCAGTTTGAGTCTTGAATCTTAAATAATTTGTTTTGTGCATTGTTTGGGGTCTTCTTAGGTGTCTTTTTCCCTCTATATCAGTGATCGTTACCGAGTAACTTAATCAAACACTCCAGGGTCTGAATCTCTGCTGTTTGTGATTGGGAATTAACAGTAAAATAAAAAGACAGGAGTGGCCTGTACTAATTTACATGTGCAACCCATGATTCTGAATAACTGAGAAAAATTGTAGTCATTGCTATACTAGGAAAACAAAACCTATGCCTCCAGGCTGCCTGTATAGGTACCTTAATTAATACCAACAGGGGAATACATTTCCAGATTGAATTATACGCAGAGTATAACACAAAAAAAGAAGTTGAAATGGTCAGAAATATACCCTGGCAGCAATACAGTGTACAATAAAAACCCCGTTATGTGGTATTTGTATGAATGGCGATCATTTGAGTCTCTGGTTTAGATTTAGCAATCCTTTGTGTTTATTTCATTGATGTGTATTGTTTCTTTATTGCTAGTGGGGAAAAAAAACATGGTCAAGCTCATATGTGGAGTGATGTCATGAAGTTTTGATTACTGTGCTAATATACCCATCGTCACCGAAGGGAGCTTGTTTTAAGGGCCCTTCTTTCCAGCAGTACTGTATACTAGAGCCACTTGCCTGTGAGCATTCCTTCTGCAGACCCATGTGTGCTGCAAAGACAGGTCGGGTTAGAAAAATAAAAGAGCTAAGCCGAGGAGTGAATTATCTAAAACATTTACTTTACAGTTTATCTTGCCGTGATTGCTGTGACGCCTTGACCCTGCCTGTAATTTAGTACTGTGAGCTTAGTTGACGGTTGAGGTTTTAGCTCTGGCCTGCTCTTGTTACTGTCAGGTTGGGTTCGGCAAGGAGGGCCTCGCCAGCAGATTAATCTCTCACAGCGGAAATTCCAAAGATATACCTTGGTCTCTAATAGCTGTGTGTTTCATTAATTATCGGGTGGTTTTCACCTTTCACTTTTCTGTGTTTTGATACCAGCTCTTTTTTTTTTTTTCTATGAACCTAATAAGCACCTAATTAGAATGTTACCTCTCTGGTGACACTTTTTTATGATGTATGTTTCTGTAGTTGGCCTATGTTCTAAGGGTGTATCCATGCCGGGCTCACTTCAGATGAACATGTTCGGTTGTTCACGCTTGGTCCACCTGTACTGTGTTCATTTGGAAGCGAACTAGAGTTTTTTGGGTTTACTTCCCAGATTTAATCGGATCCAGTTTTCCTGTGTTCACTGTGAAGTTATTTCCTTTTAGACCAGATGTTTACATTGTTAGTTTGCAATATTAGGTAATGCATCATAACGTAGGCGGGGGTGTGTGGTAAATTTGCTGGGCTCTTTTTAGTTTTAGGGTTTATGTTCTCACGATCTTCCCCTTTAGCAGTTATTCACGGGCATCCCTAGATCTCCGATTTACTCCTTGAAAAGTACTCATTGTCCTCTAGATCTAAGGTGTTTTTTTATTATTAACTATCTTTGCTATCACACTTTTCACTTGTGCCCACTTCAGTAGATCAGTAGAAACTGTCTGCCTAGATCTCTCATGAAAACCACTGGTGAAAATAAAGATGCGAGAACAGAGTTAAAGGACGTTTGAATTGGGGAAGCTGGGGGCCCGGGCTACTGGATGGCTGTGGGATTAGGGATCGTTCAGTGTCACTCGTACTTTATGCTTGAAGGACAGATGAAGCAAAGCACTCTGCAGCTCCAGTGTGATGCAAGAAGGAGTGCATTTTGTTTTCTAATTAGAAGTTTTTTTAGGTTTGTGGGAAAGAGAAGATGAGAAAAAGAGCTGGCCAAAGATAAGCTTAAAGATAGGTCATGTGATGAAAAAACCGCTGAAAATATAGAGCAGCATCAAGCACTGTTGCATAATTTTACCTTTGTGTGTCTTTCGATTTGAAG